AAAGGTCAGGTCAAACAGCTCTTTTTGGAAGGAGGAGGTCATGATGAAAATAATGCCATGAACTATTATCATGACCTATGGATAGCCTGAGCGATCATATTTATCGCGGTTGAACATTTTGGAATTCATTACAAGGATTCCCCGCAAACATAATAATTACTACTAGCTCCGAAAGATTCTCGTACAAACCTAACTTAGCCTTTTGTTCTATTGGGACATTGCAATTTGCAGGTCAATCCATATCCAGCTTCGTTTTCGTTTTCGTTTTCGTTGGGAACGTTGATGTTTCAGACTCCTTCATGACTAGAGATGCAATGGATCGGGTTAGGCAGGTTTTGTCAAACCCAAACTCATGGGTTTATCCGCCAAAAAAACTAGGAGTAAAACCCGCTGGGTTTGAAAAACTCAAACTCAACCCGCTGAGTATCCGCGGGTTCATGGGTACCCGTGGGTTTTTGTGGTAAAAAACTTACAATAACAAACTTCTTTCAAAATAAAAATTTAACATCAATTTTCTCATACAAATTATTCATACAAAAAACACCAATCTAGAACATAAAAGCAAACCGCAAATGATCAATGCAAATTGTTCAAAATTAAAGATAAACATCTATAAACAAGAAGATTAATTGAAATCTTCTTCCTCGTCAAATAAGTTTCTTCACTCTCCACTCCATAATATCAACTTCATTCTAAACAATTAGAAAGAACAAATTATACATGTCTCCACAAACATAAATAATATTAGTTGTTTAAAGAAGATATATTATTTAGAATATCAAATATACCGGGAAAGTAATTATATGTGTGGGCGGGTACCCATGGAGCGGCGGAACCTAGGGTTTCTTTAGGTTTTCCGAGGCGAGCGTGAGCTTGATTTCCAGTTGAATAAAGGTTTACTTGTTTCCAATCGGAAACGAGTTTTGATAGCAAAGTTGGATTACAACTGTGGCGCTGATTACATCTATATAAAGACGACCTGGTGGAGCTAAGTTGAGTGCGTTACATAAGTGGTGCGAATCTAAACCCTAATATTGGGGCTTTTGGTACTCTGGTAACTTTCAGATTGACTACTTGCGTACTAAGCAAACGATGGAGGCGAAGGATCCTGCTGGAGTTGGAGGAGAGGGATCCAACTTGGAGCCCATGGAGCTGCGTAGCACAGCTGAGAGTCTGGAACGGGACCTGGATAAAATCACCTTGGAGGATGAGGATGATACTCCTCTGGATGTAGAAGATGGCGATGTGGACCTTGTCAGGATGGAGGCTGTTAGACAACTGGGATTGATTGGTCGATTGATGTCTGACAAGCAACCTAACATCAAGTCACTGAAAATAGCTTTGACGAAGGCTTGGAATCTGAAAAAAGGGTTTCAGATCACTGACCTGGGGGATATGTTATATTCCTTCCAGTTCTTGGACCTTGATGACAAAAACAAAGTCTGCTTCGGGGGCCCCTGGCATTATGAAAACAATGTTATGGTCTTCATATCGAGTTTACTCATTAAGAAACCTACTCCTGAGGCATTACATATGATCGATATTTGGATCCAGATCAAAGAGTTCCCAGCGGAATTGAGAACTCAGACTATGGCGGAAAAGATAGCAAATCGATTTGGATCCCTAGTCTGGTTCGACAACAGTTCAGGTACTATGTGGGATACATACATGAGAATGCGAGTGAGCATATCCATCAACAACCCCTTGAATAAAAAGATAAAACTGAATATAGGTGGAAAGTTGGTGGATTACCTGGTGAAGTATGAAAAGTTGCCAATGTTTTGTTATTCATGTGGGCGTATTGGACACCCAAAATTGAGATGCCCTAAACCATATGGTCTGGTTCCTGATCCTTTTGGCTCAGACTTGAGAACCAGTCCCCCAGGACCTCGGAACTGGTTGTCCTATACCTCAAAGAAGGAGGATGCTGAGGCGTGGGCGTTCCTGCGAAAAAAATTTGACATGGAGAGTGTTAGTTCTAACTCCTGTGGTGACAGAGCACCCTCTGAAGAACTGGCAGAACCTAATCTTGTTAGAAACACGTCTGAGATGGAAATTGTCAATGAAACAACTCATCAGAAGAAACAGGAGACCTCGAGCGAAGGTATAAAAGGAAACACTCAAGGCTGTATCACAGAGAAAGCGAAGGGAGAGGGTCTCAGGGATCCTGTGCAACCTACAGAGGATATGCAGACCCCAGAGACAGTGGGAGGGCAGTCCCAGAACTAGAGGAAAGGGGAAGATACCTATAAGCCCTCGATGAGAAAGATGGTGAGTGGAGGTGCCCTGCATCAGTTTGTCATGGGTACAAACAACACCTGGCCTAGTAGAAAGAATACCAATAGAGTGTGGAGACGTCAAGGCAAACTGTGCCAAGACACACAGTTAAGACTCAAATTACCCCACAGAAGAGGATGGAAGAAGACTGTACTTAGGCTGAAGTTAGAGAAAAAGATATTCAAAACCAGAAAAAAAAGCTAGGGTACTCAACTTTGAAGAGGGTGAGACTCTGATCCCTTCTGAACCAAAACTGAACATGGATGGCGGAGAGGCGGACCCTGTTAAGGAACAGGGCCGCCCAGCTCAATGAGCATTATAAGTTACAACTGTCGTGGGCTGGGGAAAACCACGACAGTTGCTCGAGTAGCTCAGCTACTAACTGAACAGGACCCCAGGATAGTGTTTCTCATGGAAACAAAGAAGAAAGAGCATGAATGGGAAGAAACTATACAGAAATTAGGATGGACAAAAGGTAGAGGGGTTGGATCAAGAAACAGAGCAGGGGGGCTAATCATGATGTGGAAGGAAGAGATGGTAGTTGAGGTGAAGGCTGCTACTCAGAATTATATCGATGTAGTGGTGACACAGGGTTCAGAGGATAATAAATGGCGATTAACTGGGATTTATGGCTGGCCAGAGCAGAAAAATAAACCTAAAACTTGGGAACTAATCAGAAGACTCCATGGCCAGTCCAATCTGCCATGGACTCTGTGTGGGGATTTCAACCAGGTCCTAAGCTATGAAGAAAAGAATGGAAGGAATCCTCCTGACATCCAAAATATGGAGGATTTCCAAGCCACCTTAGATGAATGTCATCTAGAAGATATGGGGTACTATGGACCAATGTTTACTTGGGACAATGGCAAAACAGATGAAGATTTCTTAGAGCAAAGACTAGACAGAGCCGTGGCTAACATGGAGTGGAAGACTGTGTTCCCTGAAGCACTTGTTATTCATTTAGAAAGATGGATATCAGATCATATCCCCATTAAAATTGAACTCAATCTACAGGAGGAGCAGATCAAGTGGGGGTGGCATTTTAAATTTGAGGCCTATTGGCAAAAGCATGAGGAATGTGGATCTATTATCGAGACTGAATGGAAAAAGAATCCATACTTACCTTTGGAGGAAAAGATCAAGAACTGTGAGAAAGCACTACTTGAGTGGGGAAAGAGAACTTTTGGCAGTCTGAGAGTGAGAAAGAAGAAGATAGAGCGAGCCTTAGCAAAACTATCCAAAGCAAAAAAGAACAAGGTTGTACTACTACAACGAAGGGCTTTGGAAAGGGAGCTAAATGAGGTGCTAGATATGGAAGAAATCAGGTGGAAGCAGAGGTCCAGATCAGACTGGTTAAAGGAAGGGGACAAAAACACAGGTTTCTTTCACCGCAAGGCTTCTAACAGAAGGAGAAGAAACACAATTAAGGAGTTGCAAGATGAGAATGGCTTGACATTTAAAGGGCAGGAGGGAGTGATGGCTTGTTTTACTGATCACTTGATCAAACTCTACACTGCTGAGCAAACACCTAGCATCAATGAGGTTTTGGAAGTGGTGGAACCTAAGGTTACTTCTCAAATGAACCAGGAGCTACTGAGGCCGTTTTCAAGAGAAGAAATATATGATGCATTATCAAAAATGGCACCAACCAAAGCACCTGGCTCGGATGGGATGCCAGCCCTGTTTTTTCAAAAAAACTGGGCCACGGTTGGGAACACAGTTTGTCTAGAACTCCAAAGAATCCTCCTAACTGTGGTGGTTCCTCCTACTTTGAATCACACCCTATTAGCGATGATACCTAAGACAAAGAAGCCAACATCCCCTAAGGAATTCAGGCATATAGCACTATGTAAAGTCCTGTACAAGATCCTGTCTAAGGTAATTGCAAATCGACTTAAGACAATACTGGATGAGGTCATTATTGACACTCAAAGTGCTTTTGTCCCGGGAAGGAACATCACAGACAATATTATGATTGGATTCGAGTGCTTCCATGCAATGAAAAACAGAAAACAAGGGAAGAAGGGCTTTGTGGCAGCTAAGCTAGACATAGCCAAAGCTTATGACCGTGTGGAATGGAATTTTCTAGAGGGGATAATGCTAAAGTTGGGTTTCCATGCTGATTGGGTGAAACTGATAATGAGCTGTGTAACCAGTGTTAGTTATGCAGCATTGATCAATGGCCACCAAACACAGACTTTTAAACCTACCAGGGGGTTGAGGCAAGGGGACCCTATATCCCCCTACCTCTTCCTTCTATGTGCTGAGGGTCTTTCAGCATTGACAAAAAAA